CTGCAAAATATACAGTACTTTAGAATTATCAACTATACTTAAATACTACAGCACAGTATAATTAATAATACCTTACACCAGTCAATAATTACTTTTATGGGCAATGGGTGCTCATGTGTAGTACATGATCAGTAAGTGAAGTGAGGCAGCACTTTCACTTGCATCATCACTCTATATGTTTCCCAACCCTGTATCCCATAACCTCTTCCATACATGTCCCCACCTATTTTTGGTGCAGGGGTCCAGTCTCAACTTCCGGTCATGGCTCTCAACTTGCTTGTCAGATTCACTCTCTCCTAGCCTTGTAGGCCCTATCAAACCTTCTCTTAAAACTATATATGGAGCCTGCCTTCATTTCTTCAGAGATCATTCCACTTCCCAACCACTCAGACTAAAGAAATACTTCCTGAGATCCCAGTCTCTCTCAATTACCTATTTCTTGTTTCTCAAACAGCCTGTCCCAGTCCACTCAATCAATTCCTATATTCTGCATGTTATCTAGGAGTGTGCCATCAGTAGGTATCAGCTAATTTTACAGGTATCGGTATCAGCCTAAAACTGAGTATCAGCCAATACTGATGGTACAAGTATTAGCACCAGAATCAGTGGACATAAGCTTAAAACTGATTATCAGTCTCAGCAAAAAATTTGATACCATCCCATCCTAACCATGCCTTCCTGGTTCTTTTGTCCATCAATATCGTTAAAGTCAGTTCCATTAGCCTCTCTTCATAGCTCTAAGCCCTTAGCTCTGGAACGTACCTTGCTGCAGACTTATGCACTTTCTCCAATTTCTTAACATGCTTTTTTGTGTGTGGGTTCCATGCTGATCTGTATACTCCAAGACAGTCCTGACACATATAGTATAATGACCCAGAATGACTATGCTTAGATTCCTGAAGACTTTTCTTAGATTTGCCAGACAAGCATGGGCTGCAGAGGTTATCTGGCTAATATGAGCCTTTGGCAATATACCAGGCACTATGCTTACCCCTAGGTCTTTCTCTGAGTGAGGTCTGCAGCCTTCATCCCCCCTCCCTCAAGTCTATATTTAGTATATGGTTTCTTGCCCCTATCTCAAACAACTATAAACAAACTATTGCAGGACATATGGGCTAGTGAGAGTGTAGGCAATGAGGTTGAAGATATATGGAGTAGATTTAGGAATGTAGTGTTCAGCAGAAGTTTGTGGTTACAGGAAAGTTGGTGCGGGAGGGAAGAAGAGCGATTGGTGGAATGATGATGTAAAGAGAGTGGTAAGGGAGAAAAAGTTAGCATATGAGAGGTTTTTACAAAGTAGAAGTGATGCAAGGAGGAAAGAGTATATGGAGAGAAAAAGAAAGGTTAAGAGAGTGGTGAAGCAATCTAAAAAGAGCAAATGAGAGAGTGGGTGAGATGTTATCAAGAAATTTGGTTGAAAATAAGAAAGAGTTTTGGAGTGAGATTAATAAGTTGAGGAAGCCTAGACAACACATGGATTTGACAGTTAAAAATAGGAGAGGAGAGTTATTAAATGGAGATTTAGAGGTATCGGGAAGATGAAGGGAATATTTTGAGGAATTGTTAAATGTTGATGAAGACAGGGAAGCTGCATTTTCGTGTATAGGGCAAGGAGGAATAACATCTTGTGAGAGTGAGGAAAAGCCAGTTGTTAGTGTGGGGGAAGTTCGTGAGGCAGTGGGTAGAATGAAAGGGGGTAAGGCAGCTGGGATTGATGGGATAAAGATAGAAATGTTAAAAGCAGGTGGGGATATAGTTTTGGAGTGGTTGGTGCAATTGTTTAATAAATGTATGGAAGAGGGTAAGGTACCTAGGGACTGGCAGAGAGCATGCATAGTTCCTTTGTATAAAGGTAAAGGGGACAAAAGAAAGTGCAAAAATTATAGGGGAATAAGTCTGTTGAGCATACCTGGTAAAGTGTATGGTAGTTATTATTGAAAGAATTTAGAGTAAGACGGAGAGTAAAGTGAAGTAAAGTTTGTTTCTTTGTAAAGGTTACAATGTGTAATTACAATTTTGATTTGCTAAGTACAAAGATAGCCACTATCATGCCAAGGCATTTTGGGCAAACTAATTCTAATACATAGTAACTAATTAAAACTAGATAAGATAATAGTACATAGTAACTATACTTAAAACTAGACAAGTAGTAGTGGTTAACTGTTTTATAATCTTATTTAAACTTAATACAAGTGATAGGTAGTAAGGTGGAGTAGGGTTCGGTAAAATAATCTTGAAATTGCACACAAAATCTACCTTACAAGTAATGCTGCAGGTGGTAATATTTTATGGATTGGCAGAATTAAAAGCCAGGGGGTCACATAATAAAACTAATTAGCAGATGCTTTGGCTGATTTGGTTAATATTGAGAGATAAGATGATTTTATGGATTGGCAGAATTAAGAGCCTACAGTTCACATAATAAAACTAGTTAGCAGATGTTTTGGTTGATTTGGTTAATATTGTGAGATAAGATGATTTTTTAGCAAAGTCCTTAATTTATAAGCTGTCAGGGGATCCTTGACCTGTTCCGGTAGCGAGTTCCAGATCTTCGGGCCCTTTATGTGCATAGCGTTCTTGCATAGTGAGAGACTGACTTGAGGGATGTTAAAAAGTGCCTTATGCTTTGTATTTTGGCTGTGCATTCTGCTGTAACTGTCAAAGTAGTAGTTTTTGGGGAGGGTTTACAGTGGAGTTTAACCCGTAAACGGTCCAAATGTATATATACGTTTTTTCAACATTTGAAAGTATGTAAAAAAAAGTAGATCTTCTTTTTGTTTTTTTACATTTGAAAATGTGTAAAAAAACTTTGATCTACTTTTTTTTTTATATATTTGAAAATATGTAAAAAAAATGTAGATCTACTTTTGTAGCACTACACATGTGAACGTAGATCTGCTTGGACCGTTTACGGGTTAATGTACTGTATATCTAGTAGGCATAATAATAAGAGTGTATGTCTTGTATATTTGGCAAGTTGAGTCTTTTGAAAAGTGGTGGGGTGTGCTGTCTAGCACAGGAACTGGTTATCACCTGCACAGCAGCTTTTTCTTGGATTATTAAGGGTCTAAGGTGGTTGACCGTGGTTGAGCCCCAGGCACAAATACCATAGGTGAGGTAAGGATATATTAGAGAGTGGTACAGGGTAAGGAGAGTTGTTTGTGGTACATATTATTATTATAATCAAAAAGAAGCGCTAAGCCACAAGGACTATACAGCGCTGCAGGGCAGGAAGGAAGCGAGGGCATCAGGTGGCAAAAGGAAGATGGACGAGTAATAGGTTACGGATAACAGCGGGGCAGTGGATGGTGAAAGGGTAAAGGGCAGCAAGAGACTGAACTAGAAAGGGCTGAGGGGAGTGCGAAAAGTATCATCAGAGTTTGTGGAGTAAATCAGTCGTTGTCAAGAAGTCAATGAGAGAGTCAGGATTAAAGGAGGGTCCATCAGCAAGAAGGGAAGGTAAAGAGAGAGTAGTAGAACGAAGACGACATTGGAGGTAAATTCTGCGTGCTCATTGATAGAGAGGGCAGTCTAACAGAATGTGGCTAATCGATACTGAAACTTGACACTGCTCACAGAGAGGAACAGGGTGCCTCTCCATGATATACCCATGAGTAAGACGAGTGTGACCAATGCGAAGGCGGGAGAGAGTGGTCTCCCAACCTCGGCACTGATGACAAGAAGACGGCCAGTAACCTATGCTCGGTTTAATAGAATGAAGTTTGTTACCGAGCAGAGTTGACCAACGTTGTTGCCAACGGGCGTGAAGGTGGGTAGCTATTGCAGCAAAATAGTCCAGAAATGGAACACCTCGATAGGAAATTGGTAGGTCATGTACTGCTGACCGCGCAGCAGTGTCTGCCTGTTCATTACCCTGTACGTCGACATGACCAGGGACCCAACAAAAAACAATATCTTTATGTTTGGTAGAGATACGGCGTAGCCAAAGTTGGATACGGAGAACTAGGGGATGAGATGTATCAAATTTTCGTATAGCCTGTAGAGCACTAAGGGAGTCTGAGACTACTACAAATGATGACACAGGCATAGATGCGATACGAATAAGTGCTGCAAGAATGGCATACAGTTCAGCAGTAAAAATGCTAGCTGAAGATAGTAAATGTCCCCGCACGACGCTGTCCGGAAACACTGCTGCGAATCCGACACCGTCTGAAGACTTAGAGCCATCTGTGTACACAGCGGTGGCATGAGAATGGGAGTGGAAGTGATCAAGAAAAAGAGAGTGGGAAGCCACCGTAGGCAGTTGAGCTTTCGAGCAAGGGAGTGAGAAAGAACAGACCCGAACAGCTGGAACTTCCCAGGGGGGTAGGGAAAAGTGAGATGCTACATGAACATATAAAGGTGGTAACTGAAGGGAAGACAGAGTGAATGTAGGCGAAGAGAAAAGGGACGGAGCAAACAGGGGCGGCGAACGAATAAAGAATGTCTACTAATATCGGTGACCATTCTATAAATGGAAGGATTGTGTAGATCGTGAGAGCGTACATAGTAGCGAAGGCAATGGGCATCACGGCGATCAGACAAGGATGGAACATTCGCTTCTGTATAGAGGCTCTCAACAGGGGAAGAGCGAAAAGCACCAAGGCACAAACGTAATCCTTGGTGATGGATAGAGTTAAGGCTAGAGAGAGTAGCAGGAGAGGCCGCGGAATAAATCTGGTCACCATAATCGAGTTTCGATAAAATGAGGGCTGAATGTAGGCGAAGCAGAGTTCAACGATCAGCTCCCCAGGAAAGATGAGCAAGGGTTTTAAGAAGGTTTAGCCGGCTGTGACAAGTTGCCTTCAGAGAGGTTATGTGAGGTTTCCAGGATAACCGACGGTCAAAGAGAAGTCCTAGAAACCTGACTGTATCACGTTCGAGGATACGGGAGCCATAGAGATACAAAGGATGATCGGAGATAACAGAGCATCTAGTGAAAGTAATTTGGTGAGTATCATATCTTGGAAAGGATTCCTACTGATATGGAAATTTTCTTG